TAGCCTACTAGACTGTGAGAGAATAAACTTCTGTTGTTGAAGCCATCCACTTGTGTTATTTCTGTTATAGCAGCACTAGATGACTAAGACAGAATTTGGTACCAGAAGTGGGGTGCTGCTCTAACAGATACTTAAAATGTGGAAGCAGTTGCCTTGAAGAGACTGTTGGTGGAATTATGGATGCCAGATAGTTCTGGTGAGGAGTGGCAGCAGCAGAAGACCAGCGAGAGATGGCCCTGGAGCTGACCCATGGAGCAAGAGAGCTGAGTGCCTTCTAGCTGAAGTTTACTGGCATAGTAGGGTGCCTCTAGTGGAACTACAGAGCTTTGGAACACTTGCCCCAGCAGGGCTGATGTGGGCAGTGAAGCCTGAGGGGCCAAGAGGCCAAAAACCAGGAAGCAGAAGCTGAAGAGACAAGGAACACAGGTAGCTGAGCTGCCTCAGTCTCAAAGGGTATGACCATGACCTCTGTGGTTTTAAAGGGTGGAGCCGTGGCCTCTGGTGTTTCTAAGGGTGGAGTCACCACTCAGATGGACTAGGAGAATGGTGCGCCTAAAGCTGAGGAAGCAGAGCTGTTGTCCCAGTGGGCCTGGAAGGTGGAGCTGAAGCCCAGGGCTGAGGGGACTCCACTCAGAATCCAGACAGTGTGGCCAATACCTAGAGTCTGGTGGGCAGGGCTGTTGTGTAAATGGTCTCAAGAGAACAGAGGATTATTTTCAAAGCCTTGAGGACCAATGTAATATGCTCTGCCGACTTGCTTGGTGCCTGTTACCCCTTCTTTCCCTCCAATTTCTTCCATTTGTAATGGAAATGTCTAGCTTGTGCCTGTTCCACCATTGTGCTTTGGAAGCAGACAACTTGTATTCTAGATTTCTCAGATGAGGAAGAATTTTTGGATTTTGGACTTGAAGTTGATTTAAGACTTTTGCTGTGATATGATGGGGTTGAATGTGTTTTACATGTGGCAAGGACATGAATTTTTAGGGGTCAAAGGGTGGAATGTCATGGATTGAATTGTGTCCCCAAAAAAATGTGTATCAATTTTGTTAGGCTATGATTCCCAGTATTGTGTGATTGTCCATCATTTTGTCATCTGATGTGACTTTCCTATGTATTGTAAATCCTATCTCTTTGATGTTGATGAGATGGGATTAGCGGCAGTTATGTTAATGAGGCAAGACTCAATCTACAAGATTGGATTGTGTCTTGAGCCAATCTCTTTTGAGATATAAAAGAGAAGAGTCAGCAGAGAGACAGGGAGATCTCATCAGGAGTTCATTTCTCTTTATGACTGAGTACTATTCCATTGTATGTATGTACTATATTTTGCGTATTCATTCATTTGTTGATGGACATTTAAGTTGTTTCCACCTTTGGCTGTTGTGAATAGTGCTGTAATGAACATTGGTGTGCATGTGTCTGTTTGCATCCTTGCTTTCAAGTCTCTTGGGTATATACTTAGGAGTGGAATTGCTGGGTCAATAAACTCTTTTTTTGCAAGGAAAATTTGTAGCTATTTAACCCTGCCAGAACTCCTTGGGCCACCCTTGGATAACTCTGATACACAACTCACTCTGGACTTCAAACAGCCAGGGGAAAGCAGAGGTGATCCCTG